CCTCTATTTGTATATGAAATGATACTTTGGGCTTCTTGATTTTAAAAACACCTTCAGAAACTAGGGGAAAAAAATTTGGTTCTCCATTGTCAAGTTAAAATTAAAATCTTGCCTAATGTATATGACAAGTATTGATTTGTAACTACATAAAATTTTCCAGGCATGTGCAGAAATATCATCAGAGTCATCTTTAAACCTTTTTTAAACAAACATGGTCCCACCAATTTGGCAAAGCTGCTAAAATCGGTATAAGCAATTCAAAGTAAGATGAAGGATCAATATCTTTCTCCTTCAAATTAAAACCATTTCATGCTTTCTACGCCAGATGAGCAAAAGTCCATTTTTTTCTAGAGGCCTCAGCTGCTATTTCACAATTGAGTTGTTCTCAGGTAACTTAGTTTTTTCTTTCTAGAAAGGCCATTCTGCTTCCAAATGCCTTCTGAAAGTGAAGTAATGAATGTGTCAGGGCTAGGGAGTCTAGCGTTCAGATTCCTTTGTGGCCCTGTTACAAACTGGTCCCACACAGCCAAAAGATCTTTATTGGGTACTGTGAATGTAGTTCAAGTGGCAGCAAAGACCTCAGTACATGACAGGAGGAAAATTCCGAGATGTTAAAAAAAAAAAAAAGAAAAACAAACAAGAAAACAAAAATTGTTCCACACTTCTAAACAAAGACTGTTAACTCTTGAGGTCTAACTTCCAGGTGCCATCACATCCTGCTTATAGTGCCAACCAATCAGGGAGCAACACTAACTCCTTAAACACTATCCTCCTATGCCAAAACTTTGCCTGCTTTGCTTTGTTCCATCCTCTTATCTATGATCAATGTAGGTTCATTGTAAGTAATTTATACTTTCTTTGCCCCCATTTTTCATTATACAACACTCCCACTATTTAGATGTGGTAGACATTTTCCCGGCTGCTATCTAGCCTTGTTGGTAGTAGCTCAAGGCACTTATCTTAAGACTGATCTTTTCTTTCTGATTAGTAGCTATGTAATGGCCCAATAATTATTTTTTTCAGAGATCTTTTGGTCTCAAGAATTTTGATTTAACAATGAGTCTTCACTCTTAAGTTCTCAAAGGGCAGTTTTTCAAGCTGCAGTCACATCTGCAGTCAGTGCTTCCAATACCAAAGAACATGTGCTGTGCCAGAGTGGTTGGTGAGGGGCAAGGAGGAGACAGGGTCCAGCCTCAGCTATGCACTGTGACAGGGCAAAATCTGCTTCCTGGTACTGTGTCCACATCATCATGTTTCTATTCTTGATCTCTAACAGCAAGTTCCCCTTTGGAGGCCTTTGACATTCTTTCCTGCCAGCTGACTTCCATCTAGAGAGGTTTTAATTAGTCAAACCTCAAAATGGAAGAGAAGTGAGGTCCAATATACCTGACTCTACACAAAGAAATTCTGGAGAAGGATGGCCATTGTCAAGCCAGGCAGTAGTCTGGTCAACCTTCACCATGGACAATAAGTGACCATTTGCCCTACATTTGCATAATTAAGAGGGGCATCCGCTGGGATACCTTCCCCAGAAATTGAGGGCACCTTGCTAGTTAGTTTCTGGGACTGATTTCCTTTACATAGCAACTTTTTTCACTTAAAAAAAAAGAAAAAACCAACAAAAACAAAAACAAAAAAACCTCAGGTTCAACACACCAAGACTTTGTTAACTAACAGTTACTTCTTTAGTAGTAGTTTTTGATTTTAAAATGATCAAACTTAGAACCAAGTACAGTGATGCATTCCTGTAGTATCAGCTACTCAGGAAGCTAAGAGGGGAGAATCACTTGAGCCTAGGAGTTTGCAACCAACCTGGGAAACATAGCAAGATCCCATCTCAACAACAACAATAACAAGATGTTAAAAAATAATCAAACTTACATACACACTATACAGCTGCTCAGGAGCAGTCTCCATGCTACTTAAGAAGATTTCATGTTAGAAGTTCGAGTTGCAAACTTTGGTTAAAACTTCTAACATTCTCCTATAATACTAACAACTTTCTCAGTTATAAGAATATGTATCAGATGATTGTTATTCTTAGAATAGTTTATCATAACATCATCTCTCTAAAGGACTGAAAAAAAAACTTTAAGAAATCAGTCCAACAAACTCTCATTCTTAAAAAGTAACAATAATAAAATAAGAATAAAATAATGGGTGATTTCATCCCCATCTCACATTTCAGCCAAGTTTTATTATGCAAAAATCTATCTTCCATGACACATATATAAAAGAAATAAAATACACTTAAAATTTTATCCATGTACTTCCAATGGCTTTTTAAGCTAATATTTGATATAAACAAGCATAGAGTAACATTAATAATAGTAAAATTTACTAAGTATTAGGCACTGTTCTGAGGATCTTGTTCATATTAACTTACTTAATCTTCACAACAAAACTAGTATATGGCACTATAATTTTTAATCCCCATTTCCCACATAAATTTAAACAGAGAGAAATTAACATAACCAGTGTCACCCAATAGTAAATTGAAAAGGCTGGGCTTGCTGACATAGACATAGTTTGGCTCTTGAGTGTGGGACTCTGACCTTTACAGATATTACTGATAAGTGATTTAATAAATGTTTAGTGAAAACCTATTTTGTTTAATGAATCATGTAAACACTGTGGGTAATTCAAAATGTAGTATGTGGTTCCTGCCCTCAGGAAGCTCATATTTTGATTGTTCCTTAATCAGAAAGCGGTAGCATTGTGTACCTATTCTCATCATCCTGAACCTTCTACTCTACCCCATCATCCTACCCATCGTGCTAGGTCTTATTCCTTAAAATCAGATGCTAGTTTTTTGCTAGAATCATTAACTTACTGAGTTGCGTGAGATCTTAAACCTCAACTGAATCTCTATTTTACAGATTTGAGAACTTAAGTGTGGAGAAGTGTCACAAGGTCAGTGATAAAATAAAACTAGAAAGACAGGCTTCTTGTTTCTCAGTTAGTAAAATATGCTCATTAAAATGTATAGAAATTAAATTCATGCACATTTACTTATAATATAAACATGCAAATGAATATTTTTGTTTAGAGGAGGAAAATAGTCCACATAGCCAAATATTGTTTTAGAGACTGGGATACGTCATTTACCCACCACCAGGTCAGTTATAAATCATGGTATTCATACACTAGATTGGGTGACATAAAATAATACAGTTGTCTTTTCAGTTAGCTAAGTAAATAAAAATTCCTAATAGTATGGGCAAAATTGGATGAATAATTTTAAATCAACAAATCAGGATCAAAATTTGAGGCTTTGATATAATAATAGCAGCTAACAGTGTGCTTGCTATGTGGCAGGTACTCTTTTAAGAATATTACATTTAATTTAATTCCTCTTTTAATTCCCAGACCAATCTGATGGAGGTGACACCATTATCTATATTTTCAGGTAAGACAACTGGACTATAGGATATCAAATAAATTTCCTACAAACAGAGGGCTAGGAAATAGGAAATATAGGATTCTTAAGAGTCATATTTCCTATTCTTGGTGCTCATACTTTGTTTGGAGAAGAACATAGACTGGATGTAGATAGAGGATCATAGTCTATGATTCAACACTTTATTTAAATAACTCATAGGAAATGTTGTGCTGGGCATTTCAGGGAATGTCAAAATGAATAAACATAACTCTTACGTTCAAGGACTTACAGAAAAATAAAAAGGATAAAATAGGAACAGAAATAGCTGTGAAACAAGCCAAGCTGGCTCATTGAAAGGCATATTTTTATGATATTAAGTCCTTCTGCTCAATTGGAGCAAAAATTTGTGTGTCAAGAAGTGGAAAAGAAGAAAAACTGGAAAGATAAGTCAGAGAGTAAAGTGTAATAAATGTCTCATTAAGGAATATAGAGTTTATTTAAAAGGAAAAAAGGCTTCCCTTGAAGAAAAATTACATGATAAAAGTTAGATATTTGGAAGATTAATATGAGAATGACTGGAGGGTGGACAGAAACCAAAAGTCAGTTTGGTGAAGTTTAGGGAAGGAGCAATGTAGGGTAGAAGAAAAGGGCAAAAGGGATAGAATGGGGAGCGAAAAGGAGATTGATGAAAAGGTACAGGTAATTATTTATTTACAGGTTATTATTATTTTTTGGTACCTGGGATTGAACCCATGAGCACTTAATCCACTGAGACATATCCCCAGTCCTTTTTTAAATTATTTTTATTTAGCAACAGCATCTCATTGAGTTGCTTACAGCCTCACTAAGTTGCTGAGGCTGGCTTTGAATTTGCAATCCTCAGGTCTCAGCCTCTCAAGATGTTGGGATTACAGGCATGTGCCACCACGCCTGGTTTATAGGTTATTTTTTTTTAAAAAACTACAAAGATAAATAAAAAGAGGGAAGACAGAATAAGAGGGAGAAGAAATGATCCTGTGTTTCAAGGCAAATGATAATGCTACTGTGGGAGGTACACAGGACAGAAGGATGTGCAAATAAATATGCTGCAGGGTGCAGGGGCGCACACAGTAATATCAGCTGTTTGGGAGGCTGAGTCAGGACAATTGCAAGTTGGAGGCCAGCTTTTGCAATTTAGGGATACCATCTCAAAATAAAATAAAAAGGCTGGGGATGTAACTCAGTGGTAGAAGATCCTGGATTCAATCCCCTGTACTGGGGGTAAAAAACAAATAAACAAACAAAAACAAATGAACAAGCAGAGATGTCACATGTGTACCATGTGGACATACCTCCCTTAATATTTAGTCTTGATCATATTTATTAGTGAAGGAGTTTGCTTTTTCTCAATGTGAAGTATTCTATCCAAACTAACACAGTGGAAAATTTGTCTCTTTCCTCTAAATTCCTGCATATTTTGCTGTTTGTACCACACTAAGCATGTGATACGTACAAACTCCCCACATCCCCAGGTCAAATTTTAACCAGATCGTAAGTGGCTTAAGAGTAGGCATTATTTTGTGTATTTTTGAATCTCCCACAGTACCTAAGCCAGAGTGGGAATAGAGTAATGCTTTAATTTTTAGAGTAGAAAAGATTTTTTGTCTTCTCTGGTAGAGATACATCTTTTTTTAGCCTTGTAGACCAGAAGGATCAGTAACATTTCACATCCAGAACACATGGCTACTGTGAAGGGAGCTAGCGAAGCTAAGTTGGCCTTGGACTGTGATAGAGAGAGCTGAATGATGGCAAGGGCTAAGAAACTGTTTAATATCCCACTTTCGATAGCAACCGTTTTACAAACAGGAAGAGGCAGCATACAAATTTTACTAAAGGAGTACCCGAACAACAAACCCAAAGTAGGGACTGAGAGACCCAAAAGAAGCACCTCTAAGTTAGCTGTTTTTAGAAACATCAGTCCCATTCTGAAAGTCAAATAAATCCCTGCAAACATTAAAATAAAACTCAGAGGTCGAATTATTTTCTCTAAGAGGTTTGCTTTTTCAGGTATTCTACGCTTGATGATTATTCCAACTGATATTGGTATAAGGATGAACAGGAGTGTGGACACAATTTTGAAAACAGGAATATGAAATATACACGATAACCCTAATATCTTACTATATATATAAGAATTGATAGGCATCATTATCAGGGCCAATAATGTTGACGTGCAAGTCATCAGAATGGCCAAAGTGACATCTCCTTCCAGAAGCAGAGCAAAGAAATAACCCCCACCCCCTCCAGGGCACGTGCAGGTCATTATAAATCCAAACGCTTGTGCCTCAGGCAAGGCCAAAATCTGAGACAAAAGAAAACCGCAAAAGGGCATAAGAAAAAACTGTATAATTGCCCCAAGAATTACGGGCAAAGGTCTCTTCCATACTGTTTGAAGCACCTGTAATTCAATCTTGCAACCAAAGGCACATTTATTTAGCAGTATCAGTGGTAAAATAAGCATTAGGATCTTTCTATCGACATGCATTGATGCCTGGAAAAGATTCTTTTTTGTTTGTGTGCGCACTTTGACTTTGACATTCTTAATTTCTTCAATGAGTCTTTCTTGCCTACCTTCAGAATCCCAGAGTTGAATGGTCAAATTGGTCTCTCCTTCTTCATCTGCTCTTAGGTTTATGGTAAAGTTGGTAGCATCTGAGGAGGTCTTGGTCACATTCACCACATGCAACATTTTAGGATCTTCTAATTGCACCAAGAGGTAGTTGGAGTTAGGCCGTTTGCCTTTGTAACTTGACCTTACAATAACCACTTCTTCAGTCTTTGTGAAAAATAGTATTTCAGTCTTTTCTGTGTTCTGAAAACTGAGAAATGACTTCCTTGCTTCTCCCAGAGTCACAAACAGCGAAAGTAGGATCATAAATTTTTTTCTAATCATTTTGAAGCCGTAAGTAAATCACATACAGCAAATCGCTTTTTAAAAATGAAAGAACATTCTTCCCACTGGTGTTCAGAGATGGTATAAGGTTCAGTTGGGTGAGTTGTTTTGCTGGATCAAAGTCCAGTAGGAGGGACTGCTGTACTTTTCAAACTGATATAAAAGCTCTCTTGAGTGACACAACCTGTTTAACTTGTAGTTAATACAATTTATGGCATTTACCAGGTTCAATTTACCACAAATAGAAACCTAATCTCCTTCTTCCTGACCCCCTTGTTTCTGCTAATAGGGAAGGGAGGGGGGCAGGAGATCAAAACAAAAAAACAAGTCCTATTTATCTGAAGTTAAAAATCTTGGTATCATCAGTTTTTAGTTCTTTTCTATGCTAAGAAAAATTCGCCAGACACAGTTGTGCATGCCTGTAATCCCAGAGGCTTGGGAGGCTAAGGCAGGAGGATCGAGAGTTCAAAGCCAGCCTCAGTAGAGCTAAATTACTGTAAATACAATACAGGAAAGGGCTTCACGTGGTTCAGTGGTTAAGTGCCCCTGAGTTTGATCCCCTTACCAAAAAAAAAAAAATTGGGCTGGAGATGTGGCTCAAGCGGTAGCGCGCTCGCCTGGCATGCGTGCAGCCCGGGTTCGATCCTCAGCACCACATACAAACAAAGATGTTGTGTCCGCCGAATACTAAAAAATAAATATTAAAAAAATTATCTCTCTAAAAAAATACTATAAAAAATTACACTGAAAGCAGTCAAGATAAAAAAAAATGTATATTGAAGAGGCTTGAAGGTCTGTATCAAGTGAAAACCAAACAAGCATTTACTGAATACCTTGCTGGAGCACTGAACTAAGACCTGGTTTACACCATGGTGATCAAGCCAAGTGCAGCTTCTGCTCATTTAGGCTTAGAGAACTACAGAGCCCATAGCCTGGCCTTATACTACTGATAGCTTTATGACACCTGAAAGTGATTGTATGGGTCAAGCAAAAAATGGAAACTATTTTGATGTCCTTAAATACGAAAATAATTTCCTAGAGAGTTACCAGATAACTTGGGAACATAGGGAAAATAGGTGGTTGCTATTATTGCTAAAGGGTATATCCTAAGGGGCTGCTGCTATTGGGTACTTGAAACCTTATACATAGGGCAATGGAAAAACACTGAAACTAATTCTAAATGTCTTATTCCTTCTTTTTTAATACTAATCCCTATCAACAGTTAGGGACCATGGACGTTAACTAACCTAACTTAGGTCATGTCTGTCCCTCAGTTGCCAGGGATAAGGAAAAGTATCAGTCTTTTTACACTTCAACCCACAGACACACACAATTGTGTAATTTCCCAAACAAGGTGATGAAGTTCTGATTCTAAGCAGGCAAGAAACAAAACAAAAACAAACCCCCAAACACTACAACTGTCTACTATTGAGCCTGAAGATCTAGTAGTTGCTTGTGGCCATTTCAGAAGATGCTTAATGTAATTATGATGCAATTTGTTAAATGAAGACAATGTGTATAATTTTAGATCATTTATGGTCCTCAAAGAACACCAAAGCCATTTTTTTAAAATTTTGATAATTTTTTTAAAGTCTATCATTTATATAGGTTAATATTTCAAACACAAGACTTTAGATGTCATAAATTTTATTTCCACGTAGAACACTAAGAAAAACAAAATTCTCAATGTTGAGAATAGAGAAAGGAACAAATCTGTTCCAGACACTTCAACTAAATTGCGAAGGAACTTAGTTTAATGACAAAAATAAAACAAAGCTATCTTTATAGTTTCCTGATCAAATATCTTAGTTCACAATTTTTATTGCCCAGATCCAAGATGTGTAGTATGTAAATTTTCCCACTCCAATGCCTTTATATACAACCTTCTGCCTTCTTCTTCAGGTTCTCCCAAGTCTTCCTATTTGAAAACTGTGGAGTACAATATCTGATAAAGCTAGAAAAGATCTGATAATCTCCCATTTACGTGTATTTGCTGTCTGATTAAACTGAAGCTTATTTGTATTGCAGAATTATTTTACCTATTTACCTAATTTTAAAACACTTTTTTTCTTTATGGATTTTCAGTCGTCTGTAAGCAAGTGAAGATAAACTAGGGTGAGATGTGAACAGTGAAATACTAAAATTATATTAGGTGTATAAGATTCTCACCAAAAAGTCTGAGAAAGTTGAACTTAAGTAAATTGGAAATAGGGAACTAGAGAAACTAGATTCCTTCTTTCCTACAATGGTTGTCTTTAGAGAACAGGAAAGGGCTTCACATGGTGCTAGAGCCACCAGTCCCTAGTACTGAGGATGCTGGTACCTATGCATCCTCCACAATAGTTCTACCATCTGAAACCTGACCTAATTCATCACCAGTATGCTTACTGATGTCTTTTTTTCTCTGTTCATTCATTAATAGGAACATTTTTTATTTTGCCTAGATTTGTATCTATCCCTGCTAGCCTTATTTCCCTCTTCTCAATAGTTGTTTTTTGGGGGGGCATATTTAGTTTTAGTTCACTTATGTGGCTGACCACCTACTATGTGTAAGTAATTATGACAGACACTAAGGTATTGGTTTGCATTACAACTTTCTGGTATCTTTCTATTATTAATCCTTTAATTTAAGGATTATTTCTACCTCTGGTTTATGGTTTCTGATAAAAGAGCTGTTGGAACATGGCTATACTGCCTACTAATCTGCAACTTGCTATCCTACTTTGTATTACCATTAAAAGATTGCATACATATCTTCATTGTATTTACTGTGACAATTAGAAACCAATCCTTACATTTAGTAGGTATTCAAATAATTATGTTAATATAAATGCATAAGCTCCTGATAAAAGCTGAAAATTATTGTCATCCTTCATATGAAAAATATGAATAACACAGTAGACCAAATGAACATTGTTTATTGTTTTAATTAAATTTAAAGTCACTGTATAGGTCCATGATAATTAGCATAGAAAACAAAGAACATGTAGAAATAATTTATATTCCTTCTGCATAATAGTACTTTGTTAAGCGTAACAGAAAACATTAGTTAGAAACATTAAATTCAATTTGTTGGCAAAGTGTAGTTATTTGTGACCGGTGTTTTGCCATGGTACAGAGACTATAATAAAGTTGGGCTATTCCATCATCCCTCCCATTTGTAATACATTCATACAAACAATGGGGGAGGTTATCAGAAACATACCCCAATGCAGTTAGGTGATACCAAGGCAACAAGTTTCTCTTCTTAGGTCTGAGATTCCTCATCCAAAAATTTAGAAGACTGAGACTGAATGAGGTGATCTCTAAATCTACATAATTCATGTACACACATCAACGTATACATCATGATGAAGGCAAACAGTAAAGCTGTACTTTTGGGCCCTATAACACTAGGCGTAAGCATGTGACTTCTTAAAGCCAAAATAACACAAGAATCTTTTAAGAGCTGACCTCATATCTACCATCTCCTTCTGCCATAAGAATGGCAAAGTCCCAAAAAGGGGGTTGTTACTTCAGCTTGGATTCTGGAGTGAAGATGGGATGGAGCAGTGTCATAGCCAACAGCTGACATTAACCAAATGGGAAACACACTTCTGCTGATGTTTCTACAGTATAAACTAATAAATCTAATTTTTAAAAATTGCTAACAATTGAGTATCAGCACATAAACTTTAAAACATAAAAACCCCAATTAAGTAGAAAACTGATAATATAAATTATGACAGAATGGAAATAAATTAAAAAGCATCTTTTAAAAATTGAAAAAAAATGTATCTATAGTAAAAGAAATTGACTTAAACATGCACATAAAAATTTTCCTTGTGATTTCTGGTTGAATTCTTGAGTGACTATTCCAAATAAGAATCAACATTTTTTAAAGACTGTTCTTCATCACTAAGATATTCCAAAATAATATTTCCACCATTATATAAAGGACAATCCTCCTTAGTAATCCAGGTTTCCAAAGCATGATCCAAGGGTAAGGCTTCTCCTGAAGTAATGTGACATAGCCTTAATTTCTGTTGAGAGAGAAATTAATCATGCTGTAATATACACTTGTATAGATTATCCTAAAACTTTTAGAGAAAATTTATCATAACCATATGTTACCTTAGCTGTTAATTTGTTATTGTCATTTTTAAGACTGGCTAGAGAAGCTGCAAAGTCTATGACCTTTCCAATGCTCCATCTGTGGCAAAAGAACATGGGTTTGCTTTTTTCTTTGCTCCCCTTAGGCAAGAAAACCTGAAAGTAAATTCTTTCTGTCTGTAAAATAAAAAGTTAAAATACAGGTTATATATATGAAGTAAAACATGTTTTAGTCTGGTGATATCCTTTCTTCTCTTCCTCTGGTTAGAGGATTACCCTCTAATGAATTAACTCTTAATGGGAACACAAATCATGGTAGCTTCAAATCTAACTAATTGTATGGGTATGGCCATGGCTATCTATGCATAACTTAGGCCAATCGGGCTCTTTTTCTTAAGATTTTATGTTCAAAAGCTGAGGATAGGGGGAGTTCTTCTTTTTTTAATTTGCTGATTTAAACATGGTGCTGTTGCAGTGAGTCCTCATACTCCTTTAGTCATTCCTGAACCAATGTGGCAAAAGAAGCCTTAAAGAGAAAAATCAAGAAAATGGATGAAATGGATGGACTCTTTCAACATAATTTGGCACTCAATGAGATAATACATAACTCTCCGTTACATGAGAAGGTTAAAAATTTTTTTCTTTCCTGTTTCTTGGGAGGTACCAGGGATTGAGCCCAGGGGTGCTTAACCACTAAGCTATATCCCTAGCCCTTTCTAATTTTTTATTTTAAGACAGACCAAGCTAAGTTGCTAAGATTGGCTTTGAAGTTGTGATCCTCCTGCCTTGGCCTCCCAAGCTGCTGAGATTACAGGTGTGTGCCACAGTCCCCAGCAACAAATCTATTTTGCTTGTACTACTTGGGAGTCAAGTTTCAGCCACTTGCAAGTAAAGGATTCTTTGAACACGAAGCATTTCTTTTTGTGTAAAAGACCCCACTACTACATTTTTAGAGACAATAGGACTTTTTAGTACAAAGAAACTTAAAAACAAAAAACTAAACTATAAAA